CAGCAGCGGCTTCTGGCTTTGCGTACCCGGGGACTTCCGAGCGCACCGGCTCTGCTTCGTCGTCGTCATCTTCAGCTGTGGTCGCTGCGCGCCCGGAGGCACCCCCAGCCAAAGAGTGCCCGGCGCCTGCGCCCGCCGCGGCCGCTGCAGCGCCCCCGGGCGCCCCAGCGCTGGGCTACGGCTACCACTTCGGCAACGGCTACTATAGCTGCCGTATGTCGCATGGCGTGGGCTTACAGCAGAATGCTCTCAAGTCGTCGCCGCACGCCTCGCTGGGAGGTTTCCCGGTGGAGAAGTACATGGACGTGTCGGGCCTGGCGAGCAGCAGCGTACCGGCCAACGAGGTGCCCGCGCGAGCCAAGGAGGTGTCTTTCTACCAAGGCTACACGAGCCCCTACCAGCACGTGCCCGGTTATATCGATATGGTGTCCACCTTCGGCTCCGGGGAGCCTCGGCACGAGGCGTACATTTCAATGGAGGGCTACCAGTCCTGGACGCTGGCCAACGGGTGGAACAGCCAGGTGTACTGTGCCAAGGACCAGCCACAGGGCTCCCACTTTTGGAAATCGTCCTTTCCAGGTAGGGGGGATGGAGAAAAGGGGAGGACACGAGGGAGGGGGAGAGAGAGAAAGAGAAAAGGAAGGACTAGGATCACAGCCCCTACTTGGGAGTGGGTGTCTGTGCTCCACGCCTGACCAGGATTAATCCAGTGGAAGAGTTTGCCCAGTTTGTGTGAAATCTGTAAATTCCTCATTCGATTTAAACTGCCTCTCTCACAACCTTTTCCTTTGTGTGTGTGTGGTGCAGGCGTTTTTCTACTAAAGTTGAGGGTCTTTGCGTGCACTTTGCCCAGGCCTCTCCCTCTTCTCCTAAAGAGGCCTCTTTTCTAAGAGATGTCATAGAGTTGGGCCCCCACTTTTCAAGGACATGTCTGCCCCAGGGCGACCACTAAAGCATCCTAGACAGAGCCCACAAGCTCCGTACACAGGAACACAAGAAATCAAAGAGTGAAAGAAAGATCTGAATTTGTATGTATGTTTATATGCATGCAACTGGCATTTGGAGAAACTGTCTTTATGAGTATCCCCAATAACAATGCCATAAAACTGCAGGCTTGTTAAGATGCCGGTTTGAGAGACCATGATGATCCATCAAATTAGCCTTTGTTTTGAAGTTCAAATAATCTTTCTTTAATAATGTGTAAATAGGGGCTGGCCGGTTAGCTCAGTTGGTTAGAACACAGCCTTATAACACCAAGGTCATCGTTGAGAGCCCCATACCAGCCAGCTGCCAAAAGAAAAAAAAAGGTGTTAATAATAATAATAATAAAGTGTAAACAGCCTTTCTTATAACACCAAGGTCATCGTTGAGAGCCCCATACCAGCCAGCTGCCAAAAGAAAAAAAAAAGGTGTTAATAATAATAATAATAAAGTGTAAACAGCCTTTAAAAAAAAAAAATCCCTTCACCCCCTCCAAACAAACACAGATCCAGGCTAGGTGCTCCAAATATCCTAGTCTAATTTTTCCCGTGCTGTTGTTTGTACCAGGGGATGTGGCTCTAAATCAGCCAGACATGTGTGTCTACCGACGGGGGAGGAAGAAGAGGGTGCCCTACACCAAACTGCAACTCAAAGAACTGGAGAATGAGTATGCCATTAACAAGTTCATTAACAAGGACAAGCGGCGGCGGATCTCGGCGGCCACGAACCTATCAGAGAGACAAGTGACCATTTGGTTTCAGAACCGAAGAGTGAAAGACAAGAAAATTGTCTCCAAGCTCAAAGATACTGTCTCCTGATGTGGGCCAGATTGTCTACAGACAGTTTAAACGCCTTCAGTTGTCTCCAAACGACCTTTGGAAAGACTTGAATATGTATTTAATTCCCCCCATCCTCTGCCAATGATGGCAAATTTTGTGAATTGTTTTTCTCTTTTCCCGTAATCTGGCTCTGAAACTCTTGCTCTCCAACCTGACTTTGTAGTTCTGTTTCTTACTTGTTTATTATTCGTTTTGTTCTTGTCTAGCTTTTTTTTTTTTTTTTAATGATGTTTTAAATGTTCTGTTTCTCCCTCCAGGCCAGTATAAAGGACTTGACATATTTTTTAATAATCCCTCCAAATGAATTTCAGAAGTGCCATTCTGATTTACTGTTTTTTTAAAAAATCACTTTATATGTCTGTTTCCAGTACTGATTATCTTGATTAATTAGGGCAGAATGAGTTGCAGTCATTCATATCCTGTGATTGGGTAATTGAATCATTAGCTCTCCGCAGTTGCCCTGAGGCAAGTGGAAACAGCTCTAGGCAGGCAGTGCTCTAGGGTCACCAGGAAAGTCTGAAAACAAGAGTCTGAAAGTACTGCGATGGCTTTAAAAGCAACTACCTTATTAAATAGGGTTTATATCAATATTTGAATGAAGACAATCTTTCCAGCTTTGGGTCTTTCACTTGCTGTTTCGTTGTATGTTTTTAACACACTTTGTAGATTTGTGCTTTTATAATCTTTAATTTGAAAATAATGTGTCCACATAGATGCCTTCATTTCTTGAGCTCTAGATGCAGATATTTAATGGCTGCAATTGGCAGAGTGACCCGTGGATGGTATAAATGTACCTCCTTTCCTTCGCCTCAGGTCTGTGAGATTGGGATTGAGTCCATATCCTCAATACTCAGAAAGAGGCTGAATCAATGTGGCCGTGGGTGGGAACTTTCATCTAGAACCCAATGAAAACCTTGACCATCAGAAAAAATGCATTGGGCCTCTCTTGGAGCTTTAAAATATCTAACAAACACGAAAATTGTGGAGCTCTAACGTCCAGGAAGAAAAAAATATATTTCTTAAAGTGATGATAAATTACTTTTAAAGTGCTGCATATTTATACAACTGAGAGATTATTTTTGTAGATGCAATGTCTGTGAGCTGGGATATGTGGGCAGTGCTTCAGGCATTTAAAAATCACTTTTTACTCCAAGGGAGATGCAAATAAACAGAACACTTGTTTCCTCTGAGTCTTTACACATTCGCTTTCTTTTTTCAAGCTTGTGTTGCCTCTAGAAACTATTCCTATTTATTATAAAATCTCACTATCCTGATACTATGACGTTCTCCATTGGTGAAGGAAACAACACCATTTCTGGTCTCTGAAACCTCCACACTCTCATTTCTGCTCCCCTTCCCCCCTTTCCTCTGTGGCTTTAACATAAGTAGTGATATCTTTAAATGAGGATATAATTTGTGGTGTCTAAAATAATATTTTTACCAGAACAGCTCAGAAAGCATCTCCAATAAAATTTTACTTCTCTTTCAAATTATTAACTTTTTAAAATAGTTTTACTTATTTTAAAAAATTAATATGTATCTGTGTTCCTGGGTATAGAAGTTTTCAACCTAGAAAGGTCGTTCTAAATATCTGCACAATGAAGGTCTTGAAATTAGAAACGCATATCCATATTTGGCAATCGAAAAAGAAACATTGTAGGCTTATCCCATATAGCCTTCTCTGGGCAGCCTGTACACAGCAATTGACAATTGAAAACATAATTTTACACCCTAAACTTCCAGATGCAATTTTTAGGTACTATGAACTTTCTCTTTGAGGCCTTTTGCCATTCAGGGAAATGGCTGCTGAGGAGCTGCATGACTCGTCTTTGTTAGTTAGTTACTCGCACAATCAATTTAGTGATTGCTAACTTTTGATATGTAAATTAGTTAAATACAGATTTTTAAAACCTCACAGAACATATAAACTCTTCTGGCGGGGGGGCGGGGGTTCTCATGGCTCTGCAAGAGGAAGCACAGAGACCTAGGGTCGGGAGCTACTTTCGTTTTCGCGAGCCCAGCTTGGTTTCTTTCATATCTTGCTGCCGACGCCGGACGGCGAACTTCATCTTGAGAAAGATAGAGACAGAGCAGGAGGGGGTGAGGGAGGGAGGGAGGGAGGGAGAGAGAGAGAGAGAGAGAGAGAGAGAGAGAGAGAGAGAGAGAGAGAGAGAGAGAGAGAGAGAGAGAGAGAGAGAGAGAGAGAGAGAGAGAGAGAGAGAGAGAGAGAGAGAGAGAGAGAGAGAGAGAGAGAGAGAGAGAGAGAGAGAGAGAGAGAGAGAGAGAGAGAGAGAGAGAGAGAGAGAGAGAGAGAGAGAGAGAGAGAGAGAGAGAGAGAGAGAGAGAGAGAGAGAGAGAGAGAGAGAGAGAGAGAGAGAGAGAGAGAGAGAGAGAGAGAGAGAGAGAGAGAGAGAGAGAGAGAGAGAGAGAGAGAGAGAGAGAGAGAGAGAGAGAGAGAGAGAGAGAGAGAGAGAGAGAGAGAGAGAGAGAGAGAGAGAGAGAGAGAGAGAGAGAGAGAGAGAGAGAGAGAGAGAGAGAGAGAGAGAGAGAGAGAGAGAGAGAGAGAGAGAGAGAGAGAGAGAGAGAGAGAGAGAGAGAGAGAGAGAGAGAGAGAGAGAGAGAGAGAGAGAGAGAGAGAGAGAGAGAGAGAGAGAGAGAGAGAGAGAGAGAGAGAGAGAGAGAGAGAGAGAGAGAGAGAACTGCAATTCAATCTCTAGAGAAGAAATAACCTCTGAAAATGGGGCCACACCATCCCCGACCTTACATTTGGGGAAGGATCACTACTAATATTTAACATGTTTTTCTCACAAGATATGTTTTCATCAGAAATGAGCCTATTTTTCCTTCTTCCCCATCGCAGGCCCCCTCTCCCACTTCTTTTTTGTAACCTCCAGACTCCAGGGCTGCACTCCATTTCCCAGGTCCATTTCTCAGGTTTCCCATCATGGGTAGGGGGGATTGCCTCGAGGTTTCCTTTCATCTGGAGTTTGCACGTCAGTTTCTCTCCACCTAAGAGAAATGGGAGTTTTGCTGAAGATTAAAACTGCGCTCAAAGGCTCTCTGGTGGAATTTGGATTGATGGCTAAATCAATAACAGATGAAGGCTTTGTTATTTATATGCGTTCCTTTTATATTCTGAATTGCGGAGGAAGAAGAGAAGCGGGTAAGTGGCGGAGGCGTTGGAAGCAAGGGCTGCGGGGACCCGGGAGGCCAAGGGAGATTGGGGAGAGGCTTTTCTTCAGCCGAAGACTCAGAGGCCACGGGGACAGCGCCTCAGAAACCTCGCAGGTTTTTAGCGCCGCGGATGGGGGACTCAGGAGCGCGTATCTATGCGTGATTGGAGGGGTGAAGGAAGCGTTGGAACTGGGACGCAAGGCCAGAAAAGGGGGCGACCACAGCGCTTCCCCACGTCTGGCAGCCCGCTGGTCCCTCCAGCTCGTTGTCCGGGTCAGCTTTGCCGCCACGATCGCGGGTTTTCCCAGGCGCTCCGCTGCGCCCGGCAGCGGGCCGTGACCGCGCGGACTGACGACCCCAGGCCGGCTGCACCGCCCTTCACTGTTGATCTTGACCGTGTGGCATGCCTCGCCAGGCGTGGAGCGCGCTCGCCATCTCCTGGGCGGTCGGCGTCATTGGCAGAGCTAGCCGTTTTGCTTCTCCGCCAAGTCCTCCTTTCCCATTCTCTCTCTCACCGGCCCAGCCTCCTGCCCCCACCCACCCCCGCCCTCCCTTCTGGCCCCCAGTTCCCCTCTCCACACATAAGAATTTGCCTGCCAGACCTCGAAAGTCATAAGCCTGGGGGATAAAGTGGGGCAGGTGGGCAAGGAGTAAAGGAAGGAATCTAGCTGTTCTAGTCTTCTGTTTTTCACTTAGCACCTTTATGCCTTTAGTCCTGGGGGGCAAACAGCCTCTGTGAGGGTACCCAAGGGTTCAAAGGGACACCCCTGGCTTGGCAATACCTGAGAATCGCTGTACACTGAGATGGGAGGAGTGGAGACAGCAGGGACCCCTGGAGCTGGAGCTTCCTCGGAAATAGGGCGGGTTCCTCAAAATGAGAGCTATCAAGGACCCGAGGCCTCGGTTCTCCTAACTGAGGAGACTGAGGAACTGAGGTTGCAGTCTGTGCCTAACCCCCACCTCCCATGGAAGGAGGGGAGTAGAGTGTCTCTCTGTGCCGGAGTTCCTAAGGGAAACTCTAGCAGAACCCTGAGGAGCCCCCGGCTTCACCACCCCCATCTCCCCACCCCCTCCCTAGAGCACGAGGAAGAGGCCGGTTGCGTTCCCCAGAGCCGCCCAATTGGTCGCCATAATTCACACAATAAAGTCGCAGCGCGGTGGTCAGCCTTGCCCTCCGGCAGCGCCTGTGTGGTCTCCTTCCCGGAGCTGGAGGTCTAACCAATTCCAGCTTAGCTCAGGGACCGCAGGATCTGCTGCAGGCTGGGGCGGACGCCCGTCACAGGATCTCCGGGGGTCGTGGAACCGGAGGAAGGAGGGGAGGACCCCTAGTCCTCCGACCAAGCTAGATAGGAGGGCCTGCGGCGGGGGCTGCGCGTACTGCTTTCTGCGAGGGACCGCCGCCCTTCCCACTTCGTTGTTCGCCAGACCAGCCAACCCACCAGCCGCCCGCATCCCTGGAGGTACTGAGGGGACGAACACTGTTAATCGGATGCCTCGGCGCACCGGTCCACGGCCAGGTGGCTCCAGCTCTTTGCCTTTTCACACCCTGCTGGGGACTTTGTCCTGCTGTCCCCAGTCCTCCCCGCATGGGGTGAATGGACACCTTGGAGTTCTGGTTTGCTGGGTGTAGTTTCCAAGGTGACTTCTGGCGATAAAACGAATGTAGCCTTTGGCCACGATTGAGGAATCAAGCCGCCCTAAACCGCCGCTTCCCGGGCCGGCATTTTCCATGGACCTGGATGGCAACTTGCCTAGGAGCAGAGTTCCTGGCCATGGGGACACACACCAGGAGTGGTGTGAAGCCTTCTTCCTGGGCACCAAACTTGGGCAGAGTTTGTGATGCCTTTCTCCGAGTTTGGCAAACCTCTCGGGCTGTGTCTGTGGCCTGGGACCGAGGGATCAGGCAGCAAGTGGGTCTTTGCTGCCAGATCCCCTCGGGCAGAGTCCTTTGGAGAGAGCCTTTCTTTGAGAGGGACTTGGGTAGGAGTGGCATTGCCCAGGCCCAGGGACAGAGCTGGTGGCCCCTCCACACCGTGCCCTCTCCGGACAAACCGAGAGCCACCCGTTACTGGAAAATGTCTCAGCTGCAAACTAAAGCCGGTAGGAGCAAACTGGGCCCAGGTAGTCTGCAGAAAATGGGGCCACAAAGCCAATCAAGACCAGGAAGGCTCCCAAGGGACACTTGGGCAACAGCACCCTTTGCCCGATGTCCTCAGCTCCTGGAGCCAGGCCCAGAAACTCGCAGACGCATCGCCTTTGCTCAACCTGCCTTGGCCCTGCTGGCAGCCTTGTCCTTCACCATCAAACATTGCGGGTGTTATCATAATACCCTGAAGGGGGGGAAAACGGGTCGGGGGATGTAGGCGGTGCTGAAATGACCGGCTTTGAAGAACCTGCAGGCAAAGTTTCGTCCAATCGTCTGAGCCTGTCCTCTTATTCCCGGTTGTAACTAAATACTGTTGCGAGTGTAGCCGAGGCCCTTTGTTGGAGATGTGTGAGCGCAGTCTTTACAGAGCGGGCTATGTGGGCTCGCTTCTGAATCTGCAGTCTCCTGACTCTTTCTACTTCTCCAACCTGAGGCCGAATGGCGGCCAGTTGGCCGCACTTCCCTCGATCTCGTACCCACGCACTGCGCTGCCCTGGGCCGCCACGCCCGCCTCTTGCGCCCCAGCGCAGCCTGCCGGCGCTACTGCTTTCGGCGGCTTCTCGCAGTCCTACCTGGCAGGCTCCGGGCCTCTTAGTCTGCAGCCCCCGAGCAACAAAGAAGGACCCGAAGAGCAGGCCAAGTTCTATACACCGGAAGCGGCCGCAGGGCCAGAGGACCGCGGCCATACGCGGCCGCCCTTCGCCCCAGAGTCTAGCCTGGCGCCTGCAGCGGCTGCTCTCAAAGCGGCCAAGTACGACTACACGGGTGTGGGTCGTGCAGCGCCAGGCTCCGCGACCCTGCTTCAAGGGGCCTCCTGCGCCGTCGGCTTCAAGGACGACACCAAGGGCCCGCTCAACTTGAACA